CTTATGGGATAAGTAGGGTGGTGAACCCTTAATCGGCCATGAGGTTTAGTAGTAATGTTTGTGGACAAACATGTGACCAGTTTGTCGATTCATCAACCAAAACCATAAGTATTTATATGGTCCTTATTTTAGTTAGATTAGTCCACATATATTCCCTTGAATCCACTGGGAAAAATGAGTCGTTTTGTATCTTTGTTAGGGATGATTTAGAAATCAAATTTCCTAAAATGAGCAGGCTTTTGGCAAAGTGTGCTTGTAGGCACAAGATCCTTACGGCGGGTAAGAAGATGCGTTGTAGCATAATTGTTTGACCTAAGTGTCCTAAAAGGTCATGCCAAAGCAAGTAAACTACTCAATCACTCAGCTACAGGCCGGCCATATGTGTTGTGTGCCCCAGTTGGGAGACAACCCATTGGCCCCAAATCAAAGCTTCGGGCTCATTTTTGGAGGTGGTGCAAAGTTATGTCACTTGATTTTCATCAGTGGTTCATTTATGATTATTGTCATCTCGAATATCGTTAAAAACTCAATGTCAGGGAGAATTTAAGGTCCTTTAAATGGTGATTCATTACCATTCATACAACGAGGAGCGTGCCAATGCTTTTAATCAGGTTGGATAGACCTGAAGTTGTTGTTAGAGATGTGATTTAGGTGTAAAGTTAGTGTGCGTTGTACGCATTCATCCAGACAACTAACTTTCCCACATTCCTACCTAATCACGTGTTTAATTGAATCGGTCACATGTATTAAGAAACATGATTCAATTAACTCATATTCGAGGACAATATCAATAAAATTATCCATAAGTAAAACATACACCAAACTTGAATCCAAGAACATGGAAAAATGTTCACAAAGTAAATGGTTTACTAAGGGGATTCGGCCATCAAGGCATCCATGTCAAAATTTTGCTCTTCCAACAATGTGCAGTGGAGCAAAATTAGTTTCACATATTGACTACTAGAATGGTACTCCTTAACAACATTGGTAGGGGCACGAACAGATGCATAACCAATGATCTATTCCAGCACGATGGAAGTAGATTCTGCAGGGTTAAGGTATAGGAATACTATCCCTTGTTCTTGAAGTTTTAGGTCTTAAGTACCAAGGATTATGCTTCGGGCATGATGCCACACCTTAGCAGGCCCTGATTCTACCATATGTTGTAAAAACAAACTCGAAATTAGATTGTGAGATAATATGCCATTCGGTGTATCTCTGCTGAAGCAGTGCATCACCATTCAGTAAGCTTTGACTGAACTGGGTCGAGCCATTCGGTAGACTCCAGCCGAACTGAGTCTATACCTTTCTCTCACTTTTGTGGTAGTAATTAGATCCGAGAATTTGGTAAACTTCCGCTTTCTACACTACTGCTTCAGGGGCGAGTTAGAAACATGGAAGCACGAGAAAGGTATTCTCTAGTCAAAATTTGATCAGATTTATAAACTTCAGAATTGTACTCATTCATGGACGTAATCATGGTATACTTCAGGCAATGTCTTTCATGATTAGACGATTTGTAGAAGCGATCCAAAGAGCTATGGAATCCTCGATCGGGAGGTATTTCCATTGATATTGCTTCGGGCATAAGTCTTTGAATGAAGATCATGGTGGAGGCTTTATTTAGCTTTTCCATGCCATTGTTGGTTTCAATGGTTTCTCAACTTCTTGATAGTCAAGTGGAGATTCACGTCTTGTACCCCACATAAAGTGGTTTCTATTAGAAATGTCCAAATCAGGAAAATCGAACTTGTGACGGTTTGTCAATCCACTGAATTGGAGGGAACAAGATTGTGATTGGTGCTATGGGAAGGAATCATCCATAAGCATCAAAATTAGAACATTCGAGTTCTAAGACATGGTTTTCAAGAAAAAACGTCAGGTTTTCATGGGTGTATTGTTTTATGAAAATTTCGAGTTTCAAAGGCACTAAATTTGAAACTACAGGTTCAATTTAGTTTATGAACGGTTAGTTCATAAAAGAGAGGTTCCTGCAAGAAGCACAAAATGCAATATACTAACTAAGTGTAGTGGATTTGAATTGTCTTCAAGAACTCAAGTGTGAGAGCTTCGTTACTACGAAAATATGTGACGGTTCAAAGCATAAAAATAAATTATTAAATCGTTAATGTCCAAAAGTGATCTTCAGGTTAATAATTTTGGATTCATTATCAGATTAATGGACTGCATGTCTCTTTTAATTAATTCAATAAATCGAGCCATATGGGGTCGATTGTAGAAGCAAAATAATATTAACATACGGGTTAAATTATTTATAATGCTAAAATAATAGCATTTGGATTGAAAAATATGCCCTAAAAATAATAATTTGGGCATGGGTGGGTGTCTTAAGCATAAGACATGGCCCAAGGGATTAAGGGGTGGGCTACAGGCCACGCAGGGAGGGAGAGAACCCCCAGCCGTAGCTGGGTTCTGTTGTTGGGTCGAAGGAGGACACGGGCAGATCCAACGAAAGCTGGCCTGCGGGTTTGTTCTGCGCGGGAGGAAGACCCAGCCTTGTGGGTTGGTCGTGGGTCGAGACATAGGGCCCATCAAACTGTGCTTGCTGGCACTGGACCGTTGTTTCCACAGTGAGGGTGTGATGGTGTGCTGCACCATCTCCCATTCCTCCATTTTTTTTTTCAAATCCCTTAGGGTTTAGGAAACCCTAAATATGTTTCTAATTTATTTTATAATTTGACTCTCAAATTCCACATAGCATAATTGCGTAATGCATGAAACAAATATATATATCGGAAGGTAAATATAAATGTAGGGGGTTCATGCATCATGGGGAATGTTTTCATGCTTCAAGGTCGTTTCAAATATCTTACTTTATTTTAAGCGTACCTGATTGGCAGAAAACAACAAAAGCCTTTGAATTTGTAGAAGATCCTTCTCAGAAAGCCAGAATTGCATCTCCAAATCACGTTCAACATAGAAAATTAAATTGAATCAATAGCATGTAGATCAATTCAAAATAATAAATTAAATTAATCATAAAAAGAATGATTAAAACGTAATACTCCCCTGATGGAAGATCAAACTCTCTTTAGCATAGCATTAAGAGCATGCTGATAACGTGTTGTAGGCATAATTTACTGAACAATTATGGAGGCCAGAGAGAGAAAGGGGTGCGGCATAGATAGAGAGAAAGAGAGAGATATGTAATTGTGGGTGTATATTATTCCATCCTATTGTGCCTTTATTTATATAGTAATAGGATAGGTTACCTTTCCCTTTAGGATTACAATATTTAATAGGTAATCTACTCCTAATAGGAATATAAAATACATTCTCATATCTACTAGGATTTACACAATCACATTCCTATCTGCAACAATTGTTTTTTATTCCTGCATTGGAAATTCAAACGACAACAAACTTTTTTCCTCCAATGTCTCATCAAGTGCAAATTCTTATTTCACCCTCACATTACATATCTCTCATCACCTGCGTTCCCCTCTTAAATTCGGTCTTATAATTTGTGTTAAATTTGGAAGTGGGCTTCAAATCAATTTGGTCTTGTCCATCATCATTTTGTGTTTGATTTTCTTTGGTTGAAGTTGGGTCTCTGGGTAACGAAGAAAAGAGACAGAAAGATGCAAGAGGTTTAGAGCAATAGTTTTTACCGGCGGTGAGAGGAGAGGGATTGCAGACGACGATGTGAGGTGGCTTACAGTTGCCTGATCTCTCGATTTTTCTTCCTAGCTACTCATATTTTTGCTTCATGTTCTTATATGAGGGGTAGTATATAAAATTTTGTCACCGTTTGAATTTCCAAGACATGATTACTTAACCTGTTTTTTACTAATAGGAGATGGGTCTGTTGTTACAGTTATAACTAATGGGGTTCAAAGCCAGACAACACACGCACCCCTGTTAGAAAAAGGTAGAAAGACTTTCCTTGGGGAAAATGGGAAGGTATTAATTCCTTGCATAATTTGGTTTACAAGTTCACTCTGACCATTGACACGTGATGATTTAGAAAACTCCCATTTCTTCTTGAATCTGAATTCGGGAAGGAAGATAAAAAGTAGTTCAATAATTCTAGGGTATACATTCCTTTTCACTTTTGACTATTTTGGGATTTCAATTTGTCACAGAATATATTTCCAGATTTATAACTATTTGATCCTGCTATACCAATTACTGCATCTTATTTTTCTTTGGCTAGAAAGATGGTTTTGAACCTTGAATCTTTAGTCTACTGTTGACCAACACCGATCTTATCAATTACTGTATTTTATTTCAAATCAGTATCGTTTTGAGGTGATGATAATTCTTTTCAGAAAAAAACTTATAAAAAATGAAAATTAGAATTTTCATTTTAATTATTACGTATTACAATAATTTTTTTATATCTATAGAACAAGGAAAGCAAATCTAAAGTTGCCTACCTCAAACCCTAGCCAATGGCGGAGGCACACACAAGGTTTAGGTGGGCTGTAGTCCAAGGAGATTTTTAGCTAATTCATGTTTTAATTGCTTATGCTAATGCATGTAGTCTATATAACTAACTCAATTTTAATAGAGGTTAATATTTAATGTAAACTTAGTGCATGATAGTTAATAAATAATACGTTTTATTCTAAAAATAAATCAAATTCTCTCTTTATTCCCCATCATCTTACAGTGGTGGAAAAAAATGTTACCCTTGCACTACAGCATAAGTTCAAGTTGATATTTTTTTTTAATTTGCTAATTCGGTTTATATTTCCGTTAATAAATTTGTCCTACGTAGCATAACAAACCAACTTTGCTAACCGATTACTTCCTCCCTTGGATCCCTGAAGATGCTCCCACTCATTTAATTTGTTGGGGTAGTATTCCCTGGCATAATGACTACGGGTGATGTCTTTCCCTTGAAAATCTTTGTGCACCCTTGTTATTGACTTTGCTTTGGTAAAGCTGTGATAATTATAATCTATGGATGGAAATTGAGGAGCAACTTTTGCAAAATATGTACCAAATCTTCAGGCCACCCAAGGAAAACGAGATAAAGTTGTAAACCCCTTATAGATTCCTTTCAATCTCTTTAGGAAGATAAAGATAATATCTTCACCTCCCAAGTTCCATTTCACTACAACAAAAATAAGCACCGCGCACAATAAATTATATGTGTCCTTTGAGGTAAAAAAGCGCCAACAATTATGCTCATAGATCAATAGCAACAGTGTAGCTACTATCTTTGTGTTTGCGCCCTCTATGGGTGTCACCATTGATTAGAGGGCACGATATGGCCATGTGTGCTCAAAGAGTTGAGCACAAATAAGGTTTTTCTTGTGCCCTGCTCTGACACCTGTGCCAGATGCCATTTCATATTCATGTTAGCACAATTTTTGTAATTGTGCCCTATCAATTAAATTAAAAATAAAAAAATAAAAAAAACAAATTTGAAATACCCTACAATCTAAAACAAACATTTGAAAACGTATATTCATCATTTCAAGCAGTCATCCTTCCAGTGGAGGCGCCTGTGCTCCACGCGCCATCCACAACAGTACCACATGCAGCGACAGTGCGACCTGCAGCCACGCCAGGGGTTTTAGAGTCCGTTTTGGTCCAAAACACCACCATTTTCAACAATTCAAAAGCTAAAACAAAGCTACAAAGGTAAGTATTCGAAATTTACCTTCTTTAAGGCCATTAGGTGGCTGGTGATAGCCTAAAATCATAGCCCTCGCTGGAAATCAGGGGAATTTGTCCCCTGAGTTGAAACTGCATCCAAACTTAACAAAATCAGGCATGCAATGCACGAAAACGTCTCTAAACAACTTAAAGAACCTAACTAAGGTGTTTTTGAGACTCACCTATACTGGATTCGACGAAAAATCTTACCGGGGACTCAAGCTGCGATAGAGCTTGTCATTTCGTCACGTCGGTTTCGATTTCCAGAAAGCAAAAGGTAAATAGGAGTCTGCAGTGAGGAGAGAAAGGTGACGCTGGTGGTTGCCTCACCAGAGATCGACAGCTCTGTTGCCGTCGTTGCTTATGTGCTTATCTGTGTCAAGGAAGAAGCCGAGAGGGAGAGACAAAAAAATTATGAAAGAGCGAGGGTGGAAGTGTAGTGTTTGGGTGGTGGCAAGGTTTGCCGGAGTGGCTAGTTAGATGGAGATGGATGCTGCAGTTTTCTATGCAATGAGCACAGAGATGGCGAGGGAGATGACAGAAAAGTGTGAAGAGGTAGAGAGAGAAAGTTAGTGAGAGAGATGATTGCGTGAAGGAGGGAGACGGAAGAGTGATGGAGTGCAAAGAGGAGTAGAAGCATGGGAAAGGGTGAAGACCCATGTGGGTGGGTCCCACGGGACATAAAAACCCATCAGAAAATTAATAAAATAATTATATACATAACCAGGAGGGAGATGGAAGACTGTTGGATTAATACTCAACAAATAATTATATATACATCCCTAGGTGGGAAGGGTGAAGACCCACGTGGGTGGGTCCCTGTTGCATCTGCCTGCCAGGATAGAAAACAATGAAGGAGCACAAAAATCCATCAGAAAATTAATAAAATAATAATTTAATACTCAATACACACACAAACACACATGGCTGGGTCCCACACACACACACATATAACTAGGTGGGAAGGGTGAAGACCCACATGGGTGGGTCCCACACACACACACATATAACTAGGTGGGAAGGGTGAAGACCCACATGGGTGGGTCCCTGCTGCATCTGCTTGCCCGGAAAGTAAAATGGGAGAAGCCTTTGGCTTCTAGAATGCTCCCTCCCAAAATTACTTGCCTTCTAATTTTAAAAATTCGTAACTTACTCGTTCTAACTCTGAATTCACATCCGTTTGTGACCACATGTTCATTACGATAAGTATTATTTAAATAAAATAAAATATTTATCACCACTAATAATTCAAGTTGATTGCAACTAGATATTTCACAAATTGTGAATAGGAAAAAAATAGTTGGGATAGGAAAAAGTAAATGTAAAGGACACAAAAACATAGTTTTTTTAATTTAAATATATTAAAATAGAGGGTACAAAAGCTTTTATTGTGTTTGTGTAAATTAATAAAAAAAATTTCCATCTCTGACATGCAAGCTAGTCACAAAGTTTTGTGTTCAAATTTTAGTAGGCACAAATAGCCGACACAAACTAATGTGCTTTTATGTTAGAGGGCACAATTGAGGTATTTTGGTGCTCAATGGAATTTAAAAAGCACAAATATATATTTGTGCTCAATGAAAATGAGAAGGGCACAAATCAATTGTGTTCTTAGCCCATTTTTCTTGTAGTGTTTGATCGTTATTCCTATTTTTCATTAATGTGTTTTCGACCAATCCGCCATGAAACTAATTTTGTAATTTGCAACATTAGTTAATTAATTACATGGATTTCCAAGTTAAGCAAGCCCCAAAATCAAAGATTTACTCCAAATGTCTTTAATTCAATTGAATCACCAAAACTGGGAAGCCCCTTCGGAAGAAGAGATATTTTATGGCGTTATCCAAATGTTATCCATTGTAAGATACTAAAGCGCATCCATGAAGGGATCACCTTTTTAACTCCTATAATGGGGCTTGGCACATAACCTTTCTACCAGCAAACAAAGGCAAAGCAAGTTACCTGAATACACTATTTGTGTGTCTGCTTCTTTTGTGCTTGTAAACTTAGCAGTCTTATCATGGCAACGCAGGAAAATCTAGTACACCTTGGAGTGGAGGCTTCTGCTATGATAGACAAGTACTATGGCCGGCCAGCAGGGAGGGACCCTACAAGGCCTCCGTTTACTCAAGATCCTCACAAACCAGCTCATCAGTATCGTCATCAGCAAGCTAGTGGAGATCAGCCTGTTCTTACTAGCAAGGACGCAGCCCTGTTATTTGGGGGGATAGAGATAAGAGAATATTCTAGGAGTCGCCGCTAATGGCCCAGCTAATACGTACTTAATTAGTTTGGTATAAGTAATTAGTAGTAGCTAGCTAATTAAATAAAGATCTATATGTAATAAGCTAGAGCTTTATCTGCACTTAATGATGTAAATATTCCTCTTGTAATATGTTGAATCACTTCTTATGTATATAAAGCTACGTACGCCCTCATGCGTAGTACTCTCTCTTGTTATATGTAACGTAAAAATCTTCTAGACCTAAGAGGCAATGGGCAAAGTGTACTCTTTGTTTCACATTCCTTTTTCCTCTTCGTTTTTCACAATGGTGTTTTCCAATGGTGATGTGCTGCATTCCAGAAAACACTCCATTTTTATATGATGAGGACCTTGGCCTGTATGTGCATTTTGGATTGACCACATCCCTTACAAAAGTAAGATTCATATGGACTTTTAAATGATCAATGTCTTACGTACAAGTGAGATTACCCACATATTATTAATAGGTTCTACTTCTGCAACTAATATAGTGATGTAGGAAAATTGGTCGAGACAGGAGTAATAAGTTCAGAAACAACAAAATCCACCATGAGTTTCGAGCTCCAATCAATTTGAGCTCAAAATACGCTATGTTAAAATAGAACGGAACTCATTTGTTACGTCAAAATGACATTTTAAATTTTGAGGATCTTTTTGAAGTTTCATTATTTTTTCATAATTTGCTCCGAATTTGATTTCTTAGCGAGGCTAGGGTTAGAGGTAGGCAACTTTAGATTTGATTTTTTATTTGATTTTTTAATTTAAAGATAATGATCATCATTTCAAAACGATACTGATCTGAAATAAGATACAATAATTGATAAGGTCGGTGATGGTCAAGAGTAGACTAAAGATTCAAGGTTCAAAACCATCTTTCTAACCAAAGAAAAATAAGATGCAGTAATTGGTATGGTCTGATCAAATAGTTATAAATCTGGAAATATTTTTTGTGGCAACTAGAAATCCCAAAATAGTCAAAAGTGAAAGGGAATGTATACCATAAAATTATTGAGCTCTACTTTTTATCTTCCTTCCCGATCAATTTAGATTCAATTAGAAGAAATGGAAGTTTTCTAAATCATGTCAATGGTCAAAGTGAACTTGTATGCCAAACTATGCAAGGAATTAATACCTTCCCACTTTCCCTTAATGAACCCCCATTAGTAACTGTAACAAGAAGTCCCATTTCCTATTAGGTTAAATACAGGCCATATTAATAAAAAAATAAAGGCAAAATATGAAAAGAAAGAGATGCCAAAAGGATATGCCTTTTTTTATTCTATTTAAATGGAATCGATGATTTCACAAACTTTATATATCCTCTAAAGCCATGTGTTATATGGCAAGCCAAAAGCAAATGATTCCTCCACTACTTGTAATTTAAGGCAAATATGATCAAGAATATCTTACCCTAGCTACCAAGAAGATATTAAGCACAGACCTTGCCGATCCGAAGATAAACAAGAATAATTTGGTTACGTAAGATTGGTTATGTAAGTTTTGCCATCGTAAGCATTTATTATACCACACTTATTTATACTGATAAGTTAAATTTCTTTCTTCTGTATAGATAGCTCCATGTTACTTTATTACTTGTTTAATTTGCAAACTTCCTCAGCCTAGAGTAGGTTTTTAGTGTGACATGGCAATCACGTGATACTATAATTAACTCATTTGATAACACATCACTAACACCATGTAGTTTTTCAGTCTAGAGTAGATTTCTCTAGAAGTTACAATCTTAAATCCAAGAAAAAGAAAACCAAATTGTTCAATTATTTTGAAATCAAGATCCATGCAGAAACGATAAAAGTTTAATATAATCTCATAGGATTGATCTAAAACCTACTGTGTTATTGTTGCCTTTAAAAATTACAAAGTCTACATTGCACGTATGTCGAGTAATTTTGAGCTAATTACGTCATTCTTGTGAATACGGGTAGTGGTGTCGAATGTTCTGCTGACTTCTATATTCAAGTGATTAGGCCAAGGAAGGAATGCATTTCCGCCTTGGGTTCTAGAACCTGAGGACAAGGTTACTAGATCACTATGAAGTTTGATAAACTGGTTTGGCTTTTGCTGTGCTAAGCAAGGGGGTAACTAGGTAACACCTCACTTCACCGAAGCTCATAAGATGAGCCTTTAGGCAAAAGAATTGATAACTCTTTGCTGCTGGGAATTAGGTAGGTGACCAACTGACTAGAATCAGTGTTGTTAGTTGAAACTAGAGCTGCTCATTGATCGCTTGATTCTACGACTCCAGTGTTGTTAGTCTAAACTGAAGATGCCGCCAGTTGTTAACACAGTGTTGTTAGTCCAAACTGAAAATGTTGACAGGAGAGTTAGGATAGTTAGTATTTTCTCATGGGTGAGAAAAGGGTTTTGCACAGAGTGAGAGTTTTCACATAGAGCGCTTTGAGTTGTTTATTGAGTTGAAGGGGCTCTCTACATTGCAAAATCTCTTGTATTTATAGGGTGATTCCATGATGGTCAAGTATACAGAATGACATAATTATAATAATATTCCAATTCTTTGGCATATGCATATTCTCTGAATATGTACGAAATTATTCTTGGCCGAAACTCTATCACTGGCAAGTCTCGTCATTTTCGATAGGACTCTGAACCTAGGTTGATTATGTGATTGATTCAACCTTTATCCCGAAACCAATCTTGATTAATATTTATCTCATTCAACAGTATATGGGTTGAGTGCGTGCAAAATCAGGTCCAAACATATTGCCCCCTCCCCCCAGTTTTTTTGACCTTTGGCCTACACGCTGACTGGTTAAGGAAATTAATCATGTCTCAAGCTAATCATCGAACACAACATCTTTATTTTTTGGAGTATCGGCTTGTGCAGCTGAATGTAATTTATTGATTCTTGGCAAAACAATAATATGATCATTTTCCCCGAATTATCTAACTAGTCCACACATGAAGGCCTACAAACTAAAGTAGGTGGCCATTAATTTTTTTTTTTTGCCAGACAACAACCTTTTTCCTTCTTTGTTTGCGGACAACCGCTCGTTTCCTCTGTATATTCTTAAATATCGGCTTAGACAGTAATACTTAAGAAAATAAAAATTATTTTCCTAGCAAATGACAAACAAGAGTGGCATAGCCATGATGATGAGGAGGCCAACAATATTTTATTCTGAGTCGAGATCTTTTTATATCATTGTTTTTAATTTGATTTCACTCTAGGCCGAATAAAGGATCATCTCTAAATAATCTTGACTCGGTCAAATATGTTTGATTCTTGACCGCCAAATGCGTTGAGTTATTATGCCCTCCGAACATAATTACTTTGCTAATTTCAACTTTTAACTTGAATAATTCATCTAAAAGAAATTGACCCATATTGGCTTTATCGCCAATAACTATATCGACTGCCATGGTTTTGGAGTCTGAAACCGTGTTTTAGTCCTGTTTGTC